TGAATCTTCCCTATGTTGTCTGACTAAATGCACCATTGGTATGTTTTATTCTAATCCTAGTAATCTCATTTTCTTAGTTAGAGAGATTGAAAACAGTTAGGATGTGTGACTGTGTTTAACCTAGTGGAAAATTCAAGATAGACTTCTCTGAGGAAGAGATGCTAGGGTGGATATGTGAAATGCCAGTGGGACTTTCCTAGGTGAAAAGTGAAATAAGAGTGTGCCAGGTATAAAAGTGGGATGTGCAAGGGCCCTGGTGCAATAAGAGCATGATAAGCCTTGGGGGTGCTACGAGCAGAGAGGCTGAAGAGGTAGGCATGGACCACCTGCCTTGTAAGTCTTCATCAGGAAGTCGCAGGGAAAATAAATGCTGACGAGCACAACAGATTCAAACAACTGGGAAAAAAACTGATGCAAGAGGTTGTGGACTTTGTTCATGTATTTGAAATGTATTTAGTGAGCAATAAAATGATAAAACATACAGAAAGGGAATCAATTTCATCCCAGTAAAGGGGAGTTTTGGGTGTCGTTAAGTGAAATGACAGGGAAGTAGGAGGCTGGTGAGAATAATAGGTGTTATTACCAAAGACATCAGGAAGAAACTTCAACATCAAATATACCTATAAGTATATCATTTGTTCTTACATACTAATTAGTTTGCACATGTCTTATCATGAACAATGTTTAAATAGATTATAAATTAATTGTTGCCAAAAGCAATCACAATCCATTTCAGACTCACCTACTGAACTGTTGGTGGGTAAGCACAAGGCCTTCTAACCTTATAGGGAACTTCACATCACAGCTCCCCACCATGTTCTGAATCTTGAAGTCCAAGAACTTAGCTGGAAAACCCAACTTCTGTACAACCCTGGCATATTTTCTTGCTGCTAGTCTGGACTGTTCTTCACTAGGAAAAGAAAAAGTGATATATTCATACTCAAAGACAACTAAAATAATTATTTAGATGAATAACTTATAAAAAGTCCAAATTAGGAAAGATATTTTATAAAGTGTAAACTGGTCACCCCTTCCAATAAAGAAAAGCTCAACAGACATTAACAGTTTTATGTACAAAGTATTCCCATGTCCTTGACAGAAAACTTAGGCCTACCAAAATGAATCCCTCTTCAATTCACCAAATTACTGAGAGCCCTAGATTTTTTTAAAAAAATAGTTATTTATTTATTTGGCTGTGCCAGGTCTTAGTTGCAGCACACAGGATCTTCATTGCGGCACACGGGATCTTTAGTTGTTGCGGCATGTGGAATCTTCAGTTGCGGCATGTGGAATCTTTAGTTGTGGCATGCAAACTCTTAGTTGCCACGTGTGGGACTTAATTCCCTGACCAGGGATCGAACCTGGGCTGCCTGCATTGGGATCACAGAGTCTTAAGCCACTGGGCTACCAGAGAGGTCCCAACAGCCCTAGATTTTATACATGTGAAACATAATATCATCATCACCATTATCATTAATATCATTGTATTTTAGCTCACAAATTTCTACTGAGATGAAAACTAACAAGCTTCATTTGGATAGGAAAATAATGATAAGACTTATACTCAAAGAATGCATACACTAATTCCTCTTTTATGTCAAGTCTTTCTTCATCCATTCCTAGAAGTCATCTCTTGGACAAAACTATGACTTAGCAGGGCAGGGCTCATGTAACAAAAGCATAATGAAAGCAGTATCATCGTCGACAAAAGGCTCTCAAGTGCAGGGTCATGAATGACAAAAATGAGGCATGCATACATGCTGAATTGTATGGAAATAAGGTGATAGCATACACCCTAAACTAATGCCTGATTTTAAGAAAATGAAGTTACTGCTGTCTAAAAGTGATGAGAATCAACTATTTCAATAAGAAACCAACAATAACATTTTATTAAAGTATTAGCCTAACACCTAGAAACCATGACACAGCCATTTCTTTCGTAACATACAGACCAGGACAATGAACTCCTTTAAACCCACCTCTTGGCTCCTGTGCACACCATCTTCCCAGAACTGAATATCAGTGCAGTGGTCCGGGGCTCTCTTATTCTCATGATTACAGCAGCAAACCGCTAAAACAGCCAGAGACAATAGTTAATGATGTCATGCTAGACTGCTGGCTTCTGTCAGGAGAACTAGACAATGAGAAAAAGCACCCCAAATAGTAAGAAGGACCTGGTACTTAGACAGTTATCAAGATATCTGTCATGTGTTTCCATACAGGGCTCCCTTACATCACCATGTGCCACACGTCTTTGGCATATGCAGCAAGCACACAAGTTGTGACTGCTAAGGCGGTTGGACCAAGATCTCTGTGTTCTGTCATACACATCCCAACACCTGAACACAAGGAATATTTGCAAAAATATCTTTCTTTAACTATGAATTTTGTTTTATTAATTTTTTTAGGCAAAGCTAGTGATAAACCTTTTCCACCTCCAGAAGGAATTAATAAATCAAATTACAAGCATATCAACGCACAGTGACGCTACCTCCCGTTTCCAACAGGCTTTTAGAAACTGAATTGGTGGATTGGCATTTATATAAATGTAATGGCCTCAGTGACTAGGTTACATGATATAAAGCAAAAAATTAGTTTCAAAATAACTGAAATTTTAATATCTGCTATCTAATTACACATGAAAAAATTCGTATTATTTCTAATCAAGATCACTCTTTGACAAATTAGATTGCTTTCACAATTTTAGTTTAAAAACTACTATATATCTTCTCTCTGATTTTACCACCATGTAAAAATGCTAGCATTATATTCTAGTTTATACAAGTCCCAGGAAATGCCTAATTATTTTGCATTTCCTAAATTCCCTCTACTGGTTTTATTGCTTGGATAACTAATATCATTTCATGAGAAAAAATTATGAAAATCATGTATTCAACTTAATAAAATTATGACAAAAGATTCTTATAATGCTACATTCATATGGACTTGCCATATGCTTTAAGCTGTGTTTTTTTTTAATAAATTTATTTATTTATTTTTGGCTGCATTGGGTCTTCATTGCTGTGCACGGGCCCTCTCTAGTTGTGGCGAGCGGGGGCTACTCTTTGTTGCGGTGCGCGGGCTTCTCATTGCGGTGGCTTCTCTTGTTGCAGAGGATGGGCTTTAGGCGTGCGGGCCTCAGTAGTTGTGGCTCACGGGCTCTAGAGCGCAGGCTCAGTAGCTGTGGTGCACGGGCTTAGTTGCTCCGCGGCATGTGGGATCTTCCCAGAGCAGGGATCGAACCCATGTCCCCTCACTGGCAGGTGGATGCTTAACCACTGTGCCACCAGGGAAGCCCTAGGCTGTCATCTTAAAATCAGAAAACTTGTAGGTATTTTTCCCTTAATCTTTTTATTATAAAAAAATTGGCAGTTATACAAAGGTATAAAATATAATAAACTTCTTGTACTTATTATCCAACTTTAACAATTATTAACTTTTGGCTAATCTTGTTTCATCCATATGCCCCCTTCCCAATTCTCCAACTGGACTATTCTGAAGTAAATTCCAGGTAGCACGCCATTCTATTTAGTTTTCAAAACATAAATGGGATCATACTATATATTTTGTTCTGTAACTTCACATGATCCCCTCACAATGGATATGTCAAACTTTATCTTGTGGACTGCTGTATTCCTAGAGTCTCTTACTTGGCAGCTATTCAATAAAAATGCTGCATATTTTGCTTTAAATCATTGTTTTGCTGGTGTCAACAAACTTAAACACAATGTATTCTTTTTGATCTAGAGACCTTTGGAAGAAAATTCTGTATTATTATAGTCTGAAATACATTAAAATTGTTCTGACCTTGGGATTATATTCAGCATTCCGGGCACGAAGTGCAATGGTCTTTAGGTCAAGTTTACAACCAAGATTCACTGTGGATACAATATTTCTGTAAGAAATTAGAAAAGAAAACATGATTATTTACTGTTAGTGTTAGATGATTACTTAGAAATCGTATTCTTTCATTAGAACTAATTTAATGAAATTTAATGAGATTAGTTTAAACTATCTTAATTTTTTTAATTAAAATTTTAAAAAATTGCTGACATTTATTAAGTGTTTAAACAAGTACCAAACACCATGCCAACATTTTACAAAGATAACCTCACTTAATACTTTCAATGCACTATGAAGTAGTAACTATTAATACTGCCATTTTCAGAAGAAGCAGCTGAGGCTTAAATGGGGGTAACTTGCTCTGTACACACATGGCTCCTAAGTGAGGTATGACTTTCTCACTTCTCTCAAAATAAGTATCTTTTGGAAGAACAAAAGTTCAATTATCTTTGACAAAGGAAGAAAACCAGCCTTTTCCTCCGATTAATCCTCAGTAAGTCAAGAAAAACAAACATCACCATTTATTATCTGGGTCCAATGAACACTTTTCATTTTTTAATATTCTTATATAATTTTATAAATAACTTATAAATGAGTTGTAACATCACTCTCTTGTGAATACTGATCCCAGATTGCAAATACATCTCCAACTGTTCCAGCTCATGGCTGCTTCTGGGTCTTTTTTTTTTGCACTGTCAAAATGCAATACCTTTGAAAACTTGATGGCTCAGAATTAGGTTGAAAAGAGGTTGGGTGTCTTCTTTAATACACAATTGTAATGCCAGTTAGGATGATCAACTCAATGTTCTCATTTCTACATCACCTATTTCCTTCCAATCAATTTTACATACACAAGTTCACAGAACTTTCTTATAATCTATTTTATGTGTGTAGAGTTGGTAGTAACATACCTACTTCCTTTTCTGATTTTAGTAATTTGAGTCTTCCCTGTTTTTGTTAGTCTAACTAAACGTTTGTTGATTTTTTTCAAAGAACCAACCTTTTGTTTCACTGATTTTCTCTACTGTTTTTCTTTTCTCTATTTCATTTCTCTCTGCCCTAATCTTTACTATTTCCTTCCTTCTGCTAGCTTTGGGGTTAGTGTGTTCTTTTTTCAGTTGTAACATTAAGTTATTGATTTGGAATATTTTTGTTTGTTTGTTTGGTTTTTTTTGGCTGTGTTGGGTCTTCATTTCTGTGCGTGGGCTTTCTCTTGTTGCGGCGAGTGGGGGCCACTCTTCATCGCGGTGCTCGGGTCTCTAACTGTCGCGGCCTCTCTTGTTGTGCAGCACAAGCTCCAGACGCACAGGCTCAGTAGTTGTGGCTCACGGGCCTAGCTGCTCCGCGGCATGTGGGATCTTCCCAGACCAGGGCTCGAACCTGTGTCCCCTGCATTGGCAGGCAGACTCTCAACCACTGTGCCACCAGGGAAGCCCTCTTGCTTTTTTTTTGTTTTTTTTTTTTTGTGGTACGCGGGCCTCTCACTGCTGTGGCCTCTCCCGTTGTGGAGCACAGGCTCCGGACGCGCAGGCCCAGTGGCCATGGCTCACGGGCCCAGCCGCTCCGCGGCATGTGGGAATCTTCCTGGACCGGGGCACGAACCCGTTTCCCCTGCGTCGGCAGGCGGAGTCTCAACCACTGCGCCACCAGGGAAGCCCCCCTCTTGTTTTTTAATGTGATCATTTGTAGGTATAAATTTCACCCATAGCACCACATTTGCTGCATCATATGTTTTAGTATGCTGTATTTTTGTTTTCATTTGTCTCTAAGTATTTTCTAACTGCCCCATGATCTTCAATCCATTGGCTGTTTAAAAGTGTGTTATCTGGACTTCCCTGGTGGCACAGCAGTTAAGAATCCGCCTGCCAAGGCAGGGGACACGGGTTCGAGCCCTGGTTCAGGAAGATCCCACATGCCATGGAGCAGCTAAGCCCATGCACCACAACTACTGAGCCTGCACTCTAGAGCCCACAAGCCAGAGCTACCGAGCCCGTGCACCACAATGAAGAGTAGGCCCTGCTCGCCGCAAGTAGAGAAAGCGTGCGCACGCAGCAACGAACACCCAACGCAGCCAAAAATAAAAATAAATAAGTTCATAACAAAAATAAATTAAGAGGGCTTCCCTGGTGGCGCAGTGCTTGAGAGTCCGCCTGCCGATGCAGGAGACGCGGGTTCGTGCCCCGTTTCGGGAAGATCCCACATGCCGCGGAGCGGCTGGGCCCGTGAGCCATGGCCACTGAGCCTGCGCGTCCGGAGCCTGTGCTCCGCAAATGGGAGAGGCCACGACAGTGAGAGGCCCGCATAACGCAAGAAAAAATAAATAAATAAATAAATAAATAAATAAATTAAGAAAATACAAGTTATGTTATTTAATTTCTAAAATATTGTGAATTTTCTGGGACGCTTTGTGGAATACCAGAAATATTACGGTGTTGGCAAGAAACAAACACCCCATCTGAACTAGGTAGAATTTACGATTTAAACCAAAGGTGCAAACTTAAATGCACATAGGAGCCAGCTAAGTGTGCAAGACAATAGGGTATGGTGTTTATAGAGGTGAACTAACAAGTGCTTATCTTTCTAAAATCATTAAGATTAAAATTATTTTGTTTTTAAAATTGTTTCAGATCAAACAAACACCCAAGCAAGATTTAGGCCACTGGACAAGAGTCAGGATCCATGGTTAAACAGTACTTAGTTCTAAAAATGATCAGGAATGAATTACAAAGAAAACTGGGTAACATAGTTGTTACAAATAACTCCTGATATGGCCATAAACTTCCTAAAGGCAAAAGCTATATACTTCTCGGTGACAGATATTTAATAATATTTGTTTTTCAGGAAGGAGAAATTTTCCCTACCCATCCCCTACCCCCCAGTTCTGTTACATACAGGACCTATTTCAATTAGATAGAAAAATACATTTAGGACAAGAACAGCCATCCTCAGCTTGTGGGAAGGGCACAGTTCTTCAAAAATTTACATGCAGGCCTTACAATGACCAATGAAGGAAAACAAGGACCACTATGAACTATAATGATTCTGTGACTAAGTAATTAATCTTCCCAAAGACTAAAAATATCACACGGGAAGGAGACTACATAAAGCTTCATTTGGTAAATCAGCTACAGCGAAATGTCTACAATAACAATAATGCAATCTAAATTGGACTTCACTGGCCCAAACATATAAGCACAGCTACTAAATTTCTGAAGATGTTATGAGAGCCTTTTATTTATTGGGGGCACTGACTCACTAAGACAGCTTCCCTTTTCTTTTTAAAGTGAGTTTTGATGCATGATCGCCATTAGTGCCACACAAATAACTCAATCCATCTGAGAACAAAGAACACAGCAGCACAGTTCCAGGGGACCCCTCCAGGGCAGGGAAAGGATGTACAACAAGTACTCACTGCAGCTGCGGCACAATCCCAGAGCTCTCCGAGGCTGGTGTGGCAGGGGTAATGGGGGTCATGGGAGTCATGGGGGAGGGATACAGGGGAGTGGTGCCCGGCAAGGGTGCGGTCGTAAGAGTCTGTGAGTGGAAAAGCTGTGGTGTCTGGCCGGAGGCCCCCTGGGTCGCCTGCTGGGAGGTCGACTGCTGAGCGGCTGCCACTGCCGCCTGCTGCTGCTGCTGCTGCTGCTGTTGCTGCTGCTGCTGTTGCTGCTGCTGCTGTTGCTGCTGCTGCTGCTGCTGCTGCTGCTGCTGCCTTTGCTGTTCTTCCAAAATAGACAGACTGTTGCTGCTCTGAATAGGCTGTGGAGTCAGTCCTGTGCCATACGGCATCATCGGACTAAAGATAGGGATTCCAGGAGTCATGGCACCCTGTGGGAAGTTAGGAGAACAATGGGTTAGGCTGGCTGCTGTGAGTGTCTGTAGGACTTGGCTGGTAGAACAGCAGGTGAGATTTGCAAAGACAGGCACCTTCCGAGTACAAATGGGGTTATATAGCAGTAACGGGGAGGAACTTGCTGTTCGTGCACACATCACTTTCTTCTTCAGCATAACACAGTAGGTAAGAGCTTAGGATGTGGAAGCAGACCTGGGTGTGAAATCCAACTCTGCTACTTACAACACGTGAGAATTTAAGGAAGCTCCTTAACCCTTCAGGCTCTAGAGGATAACAATGCTCTAAGACTTAGAAAAAATCGAGAACGTCTACTCTTTGAAAGATACCATTAAGAAAATTAAAACGGGACTTCCCTGGTGGTCCAGTGGTTAAGAGTTAAGAACCTGGCTTGCAATACATGGGGCGCTGGTTCGATCCCTGGTCAGGGAACTAAGACCCCACAGCCTGCGGGGCAACTAAGCCCATGTGCCACAACTGGAGAGCCCGAGTGCCGCAACTACAGAGCCCGTGCGCTCTGGATCCTGTGCACCACAATTAGAGAGAAGTCCGTGCGCCACAACTAGAGAGAAGCCCATGTGCCACAACGAAAGATCCCATGTGGCACAACTAAGACCCTACGCAGCCAAAAAAATAAAAGAAATATTAAAAAAAAAAGAAAATTAAAAATTAAGCCACAGACTATGAGAAAACATCTACCATACATATATCTGAGAAAGAACTCATATCCAGACTACATAAAGATCAAAATTCAATAAAAGATGAAAAAACAGACCAATAAAGAATGGGCAAAACATGTGAAGGACATTTTACAAATGAAGATCTATAATAGCTAATAAGCACTTGACAAGATGTTCAAGATCATAAGTCAGAGGAAAATGCTTGTACTTCTAGAACGGCTGAAGTAAAAACCCAAGGGCCGGTGAGCACGTGGAGCAACTAGAACTCTCACGTGTCGCTGGCAGAGCCTCAGAACGTGCTTTCTTATAGAGTTAAACGCATGTACACAATGACCCAGCAATCCCACTCCTGAGTACTCACCCAAGAGAAACAAAAACATAGCAGACACGGAGAAATGTACACAAACACAAAGCACCTTTATTCACAATGGCCCCAACCTGGAAACAACCCTAATGTCAGCAACTGGAAAATGGACAAACTGTCGGACACCCATACAACAGAGTGCTACTTGGTGATAAAAAGGAACTTGCTGATATACAAAGAAGACATCTCGTGGCGCAGTGGTTGAGAGTCCGCCTGCCGATGCAGGAGACATGGGTTCGTGCCCCGGTCTGGGAAGATCCCATATGCCGTGGAGTGGCTGGGCCCGTGAGCCATGACCACTCAGCCTGCGCGTCCGGAGCCTGTGCTCCGCAATGGGAGAGGCCACAGCAGTGAGAGCCCCGCGTACCGCAAAAAAAAAATAAATAATAATAAAAAATTTTTAAAAAGAGTAAAAAAAGCATATACTGGTATGGTGCCATTTGCATGATATTCTAGAGTAGGCAAAACTATCTCTAACTCTGGAAAGCAGATCAGTAGTTGCCTGGAGCTAGGGGAGTGACTGCAAAGGGGCAGGAAGGGACTTTTAGGGTGATTGAAATGTTCTATAACTTTCACAGGTGCATACACTTATCAAAACACATACTTAAAATGGGTGTTTTTTGAATTCCTGGTGGCACAGTGGATAAGAATCCACCTGCCAATGCAGGGGAAACGGGTTCGATCCCTGGTCTGGGAAGATCCTACACGCCGCGGAGTAGTGAAGCCCATGCGCCACAACTACTGAGCCTGCGCTCTAGGGCCCGCGTGCCACAACTACTGAAGCCCACACACCTAGAGCCCGTGCTCTGCAACAAGAGAAGCCACCACAAGAAGAAGCCTGCGCACCACAACGAAGAGCAGCCCCCGCTCGCCGCAACTAGAGAAAGCCTGCGCGCAGCAACGAAGACCCAACGCAGCCAAAAATAAATAAAATTAAATCTTAAAAAGAAAAAGTGTTTTTATTTAAGTATGTAAACTACACTTCAACAGAAGTTATTTTAAAAATTTAAAAGTAGCTACGTTATTTGGAACCTTAAACATAAAAATGAAAAGATAAAACTAGAAAATAATTTGGTTAGAGTTATCTCCAAAATCAATCACCCTATAATCACTCAGACCACTTTCATAAGTGCTTATCAAAAGATTAAGTTTTACAAATACACATTTTAGCTTCCAAACAAACTCCCCAAATCAAACACTATCATGCTTATTCAAAGCCTAATAGAACTTCTCAATGAAATAAATAAAGGAGGCTTAAAAAATATAAATCCATTTTCAACAACAGATGGTTAAATTCCCTTGCTTCCGTTTTACACTGTCTCTAACAATGCAGATTCTGTCCTACGTGTACCCTCCCTCCAGTTGTATTACCTGAGGGGAGGCCAGGCCCTGGGCATAAGGTGGGAGGCTGTTGTTCTGATCCATGAGGTTCACTTTCTTCTCGGCAAATCAAAAACCTTTGGACTGGGAATCACCTCAGCATTCAGTCTTTCCCTCGAGCATCCCCAGCACACTCTTAGCGACTTCCTCAGCTCTCTGGGTTATCTTCATGCACACCAAGAAACAGTGATGCTGCTTTGAAAAAAGTTTGAAGTTTAATGTAAGAATACAGGTAAGCTATACAGTCTTATAAACCAGTTTCATGGTTAAACAAAAAACAAACAAACAAAGAATGAAAAAAACCAACGAAACTATTTTGGAATATATTTCTTTTTACCTTACAAAGCTGAAATCTTACTCCTTCCACATTTCCTGTGACTGCATGCAAAATTGCCAACAGAACAAAACTGTTTTTTTATGTGTTTAATTTATAGTCTTATAATGTTAAAAATTAAGGTACATAATCAGCATTAAAAACTTTTGGGGAAAAACACCCAGGGAAAACAAATTCCTAAGGAACCTGTCATATCTGAGTAGAAATATTTATTATGCATTGTATACACAGCGCTATTAGGCTAAATTCAAGTTTTAAAGTATTCCATTCAGCATTCTATCCTCTACAATGTCTTGGGCATTAAGTTTAATAAATTTTGAATTGGATCCAATACACTTTAGTGTGCTCATTTATTGAGCAACTACTTTAAATAAAACACTGTGATAGAAGCCATACAGACATAAAAATAAACATCATGTTTTTATATATGTAATAACTTTACTTCTTCAGAACACATAAATAAACTATGCCTGCATCTGGCTTTCCTTAAATCATGTCTTTACTGGCTACACGTTTGAAATTTCTTTTAGTCAAAAGAACTGAGCGACTGATGAACTACTTTTTATTGTTTAGTTCAGATGGACTCCTACCGTGCTCAGGGTTGCTGTGAGAACTGACCGATTCAAACAGGACTGATTAACACCTCAAGAACAGCATCTAATTATCACACAGTAAGCACAGGATAAATGTTAGCTTTTATTATTAGATTTCAGTTTAAACATTACCATCTAATAAGATATTCTCACACAGAACTTACAGATCTTAAAGTTACAAGTTATACGGCAAAGACACACATGTAACTCAAGCATGTACTGGTACAAAATAAGCACTCAGAAAGAATCTCATAATGACTTTGAAAGGACTCCAAAGACTATATATCCTACATATTCATCAATGGAAAACAGACAAAAAAAAAGAGAAAACTCTGCTTCAGAAAACATCAGACATATAAGAAAATTATGCTCTTTCAGACATTGTTATCCTCATACAACAACAGAAGTGCTGCAAATATAAAAATGAAGAGGCATTTGATCCCTGGCATCCAAGAGTTCAATTTGAAGGGTTTGTAAATAATCACTGCAAAACTTAAGTGCTATAATAGCAGATATGCACTATGCTAAGCCCCTTGAGCGAAGAAATCAGCAATATATGTCTTTGTAATCTCTGTACTTAGTACAGGGCCTAGCATATAGTATGTGATCATGAATGAATGCATACATGCTACACAAAAGAAGACAATATAACTGCCACGTGTTCTGAAGAGTATGTTCATAAAGCAGGGACCATATATGACTTGGGTCTAGCAAGGTGAGAAGGAATTTACATTCAGCATTCCAGGCAGAAGAAAGATGAAGCAGAAAGAGACAAACACTGAAAGAGCACGCAGTATCCAAGCAACAAATTTAGCATGACTGCATGGAACGTTCCTGCAGGGGATGAGACAGCAAATATAAGTGAGGTCACGTTATCAGGATTTTAAGTCATTATTACATAAGCAGTATGAGCAGTGACAAGGTTCTGAAGTGCACCATGAGTAGATCTCCTTTGGCAAAAGTGTGGATGAACTCCAATAGATAAAACTGGAGGCTGGAAGTTAGGTTTAAGACTCACTGCTGTGGTTCAGGCAAGAGCTAATGAGGGCAGGATTTAAACCACTCATTAATATGACTACAGATTATCCAGAAACTGGTGGCTCCAGACCCCTTTTGACAAACTAAGTCTAGAGAAGAAATCTGTGGAACTAGGTTGAGGCCTCATTTAACCATTTTCAGAGCTCATCTCTCACTCCCAGTGATGGAACTGACCATCTTTCCTCCCCTGTGTCATTAAAACCGCACAACTATTACCGCACTACTTTATCCTCACAAAAGAGAATTGTCTGCAGAATCTCCTCATTTTTTGGTCAAATTCGATATTTTTTGGAAATAATCACTGATAAGGGAAAAGACTCAATTAATTCTGCATAGCCTTCTAGTGACTGCCTATGTCAATCAAGCATAATCTTTTCAGAGACGCCTACCTGGAGTTTTAAACGAGAAAACCACACAGTCCAGGGCCTAGAGAGGGAGACCTCGTAAGGAAAGTGGCGTGTATTTGTATCTTAACGCTCTAGCGTGCCTGAACTCTCCGGCCTCTGACAAAACGTTAAAAACTCTCAAGCGCAACTTTATTATAAAACCACCACTGCTGGTAGCAAAACAGGTGGGCACAGGCCAGGGTGAATCTGCCTTTCAATATCGAGAAGAATTAACGGATGGCAGGACATAAGGACTCCGCGTCTTGGATGCGCGGGACTGTCCTATCCCAGGCCCCTCCCAGCACACCCTGCACCACACGCTCGTACAATGGGAAGCCGCTTTCGAACCACGGCAGAGGAAGGCACTCGGTGCGATCGGCAGCCGGTACAGGCCGAAACTGCGGCAGCACGAGCGGGAGGAACAGCCCCCGCGCGGTCTCCCCGTCCATTCCGCGCCTCCTCCCACCATCACCCCAGGGTCCCGCTGCAGCGGTCACCTCTACACGAAACCTCAGAGAAAAGCTCAAAGGGCAGTTACCTGGAGTCACTGCAGAGACAACTACCGGTCGGCGAAAACGAAGTTACGCCGCAAACGGCCGAGGCGCCCGTTACGGCGACCCTTCCCGACCCTACAGAACTCCTGGCGCGCGTTGTTAACGTCACTTCCGCCGTTCCGCCCTCGGCTTCGGCCGGCTGCCCACCGTTGAGCGCGGGCCATGGGAAGTGTGGGCGTTGCGTCACTTCCTGTGATTTGCTGGGTATTCGGCTTAAGGGAAACAAGGGGCGGGGCGGAGCTCTTCTGCCTTCCGGGCGAGGCCACCCTGCCAGAGTATTTTACGATTGGTTGCTGCTGGAGGTAGTAGGCAAGACATTGATTTTTAAATGTTGACTGTTTAAACCGACTAGCGGTGTGACATTTATCAAGTTACCAGACCTCCCCGCCTCAGTTTCTTCGTCTGTAGGATGGAGTAATAATAGCACGTGTCCTCTAAGGATTGTGAGTTGGATTAAGGAAATGCATGAACAGTGCCTGGCACATGGTAAGCATGTTAGCTATTCTCAAACATGTAGAATGATAAAAACAAACAAACAAACTAAAAAACACCTGGTTTACAAATTCGATTATATTTTAATTCTGCTGCTACCATCTTATGCAGTATTTTCACATTGCTCACAAAGAGACTATAGGTAGTTGGACCCCAGAGTACCTCTCCTATGGCTCATTTAGGCATAATTACATGTTGTAATGCTTGTTAATTTGCTTCCTTTGTACTTCATATAATCAATGAGGTTGTGAGCTCCTTAAGGATAGGAAATGTTTTACAGAATTTTTGTATCCAGGCCAGTACCTGAATAAGTACAATACTTCTCTGTCCATAACCATCAAAGAAAATCCTTTGTTTACAGTAAATATGGGGAAAGTTTAAATTAAAAAAGTACTTTTCAAAAATCTCTGCTTCCAGAATTGCATGTATATATCAGATAGTCCATTCTATATTAGCCAGCTGCTTGCTTGCTTTTTTACATAACATTTTTAAATTGTAAAATATAATATTCATATACAGAAGTACATAAACCCATGTACAGATTAACAGACGGTATTAAATCAAGTAAAGACAACCAGTACTGCCAGCACCACGACCCGTCCCCAGCCACACAGGCCCTTCCTACTCACTGTGTACTCCTAAAGTATATAGTATATATTCTTTTGCTCAACGTTAGAAAACTCATCCATGTTGATGTGCCTTCGCTCTAGCTGAAGTAGGTTAATTTTTTTGCTGTGACACATCCCTCAGTTGCTTTATCCATTCTGCAGTTTATGGACATTTAGCTCATTTCCACTTTGGGGCCATTAAGAACAATGTTTTATGAACATTCTTACACGTCTTTCTGGCCAGGGTACATACCTCGGCGTGAAACTGCTGGGTCATGATGTGTGTGTATTTTCAACTATGCCGAGTAATGCCAATCCCTGTTCGAAATATGGCTGTACCAATTTATGCTCCAATAGAGTCTTCGAGCTTCCGTTGCTCCATAGTTTTGCCAATTTCTTTATAAGGTCAGACTTTAAAATTTTTATCCATCAAGAGCGATTTCGAATGCTTCCTTGGGAGAGAAAGCCTTTACCTCGCTGTC